CCCCCCCCCCCCCGGGTATTGTCACCGCGAGGTGATTCCAAGCAGTCATTGTGCAAAGAGCGCCAATGATTTTGTGTGCGCCTGCGTGCGTGGCTATGACGACCATTATAGCGCGTCGCGTCGTTGCAGGACATTCGAGAACAAACCAATAAAACTTCTACTAAACATCGACGCGTAATATGACGTTGACAATGGGGAGAACGATAAAGAAAAATTGTGATTATATTCGCATTTGTTTAGAAAGTATTTACATCGCTTGTTGTGATCGTGTAGTGAACATCTATTTTCAACTTCTCTTACTTGGGAAATTAATTCGAATGTAAATGTCTTAATCCGCTAGTGAAAAAGACAATGCAAAAAACAGCATCGGCTGTGTCGTCTCACCAGAAGGCATCGGCGGAGCAGATATTATCTTTACAATGGATACCGAATAGGAAAGACTTTAGGAGACGGAGCGTATGCTAAAGTAAGACGGTTTTTAAATAAGTTATCAGTGTATCGCCACCAGTGGTGGTGGTGATCTGTGCCGGGCCGGGGTGGAGTAGACGTCGTTTTACGCTACAAGGTATGGGGTGGCGTCGTCAACCAAACAGCTACCCCTGACGTGAAAAAAAAAAAAAAAAAATAACACTCAATATTTAGTTTTGGCGTTGGACATACTTCAACATTATTAATATTTGTTTAATCTTTCCGTGGCAATGCCAGAGAAGGAATGGTTCATACCACTGACATACTGGACAGCCACGGCGGCAAACAAAAACAAGAGCGGCACTCCGACGGATCAGTACATTGTGAGGGCGATATACTACTAGCGAGTCTTTTACGTAAGACCGTTGGAAACTCGTGGGGGGGGGGTGGTGGCAGAAAAGCTGCGTATTTTTTTTAATAATAAATTGGCTATAATAATTTTTTTCACAATGTTGAATATTGTTTCTATAAGATGTAAGCATGCAGAAAGGGTTTTCTTGTGTTATTGATCCCTGTAGGACTTTTTCCAGTGCAAATTATTTTTTTAAATTTGTCAGAATTGTTTCCCCCCCCAAAAATACCCTACAAATACATTTTTACACTAAACATTTTGAGGTGAAAATGATCAAGTCCAATTTAATAAAATCCCGTAATCTCATTTCTCGTGAGGGCCGGTTAGAATTTCGTAAATGCATTGCGGCATTTGATTAAATCATTTTAGGTTAAAAAAAAATCATTAGGCCAGAGGGACTGTCAAGTCCACCCACTGATATATTTTTTTATTTAAAGCAACATGGTAGTTATGCAGTGAGCATTTCAATTTTGGGGATTTCAAATCCACTGTATACATTTGCATACGACCCATATTGTGTGGGTCGCAACTTTTACAGTTTTCATTTTTCACATACGTACAAATTGTGCTTTTGAGAAGTGTCCTTCCTGAACACAAAGCAGCTTCAAACTGGGATGATATATCACTTCTAAACATTAATTAATTGAAGATTTGACACTTTCTGTTGTACACAACTCTAATAGTCACACACCCTCGTACTTTCTGGAAGAGGGACAAATTTACTATAAAATAAAATTTCTCGACTTTTCTACCCAAAAAGCAATTTTATTGGTTATTAAAACAGTATAGCATGAAAAAAAATGACATGTAAAATAAAATACTGTCTATTTTAGGTATCTATTTCTTTCTTTGAAGTTTATTTTATTTAGTTTTTCTTTTTATTTGTTCAAGGTCAAAGAAGCCTATTCTCAAAAGCACGACAAAAATGTAGCAGTTAAGATTATTAACCGTAGGCTTGCTCCAGATGATTTCAGAACAAAATTTTTGCCACGTGAATTAGAGATCATCCGGCATGTGCGGCATCCTAACATCATTCGCATTTACGCTCTTTTGAATCACGAAGAAAAAGTTTGTGTTGTCATGGAGAAGGCAGCGCATGGAGATTTACTGGAGCACATTAAGAAAAATGGCTCCCTACCGGAAGGTATATGCAAGAGCATGTTCAGGCAGCTTGTTGATGGGCTGAAGTATTTACATGCTAAAGACGTTGTGCACAGAGACTTGAAATGTGAGAATCTACTTTTAGATGAGTGTGACCATCTCAAGGTGGCCGATTTTGGATTTGCACGCGTCATCAGTGACACTAAACTCAGCGAGACTTTCTGCGGTTCCGCCGCGTATGCGCCTCCCGAGATACTACAAGGTATTCCGTACCATCCCAAATCCGCGGAAATCTGGAGTATGGGTGTCATTTTGTACATCATGTTAGTTGGAATGATGCCATACGACGACAGTGACGTCAAAGCCATGATAAAAGTGCAGCTCAACAGCAAAGTGAGCTTTCCAGAAAAGAAGAAACTGACACCTGAAGTAAAAGCACTGGTACATTGGATGTTGGAGCCTAGGTTGGACAAACGAGCCAGTCTGGATGACATCTTGGCAAGTGATTGGTTCAACAGCTAAATCAAAGCAAAATGCATTGGTGATAACAAATTCTGGACAAGATTTTGATCTTAGATTTAAAAACTATCACTGTATGAACTGAAAATAATCAAATAAAAATAGGAAATGTGAATCAAAGTACTTCTTATTGCATTTATTTTAAATACACTGTAGTAGGTTTAGACCAATATTTCTGTAGGGGGGTAGGCTTGAATAAAAAATTGGGGGCAAATATAAAACAAAAGCAAAAAACAAACATGTTGCATTAGCGAGTCGAGTCAAGTCAAACCAGCAGAAGTGATTCATCTCGACCCCGTCACCCTCTATCAAAACATTTGACAGAGGGCAGTAGTATTTCACTTTCCCAGAGACTCTCATACAGAAAAGGCTTTCATCTTTCTTGTAAACAGTATTGTCAAGCAATTGCTGTTTGTCCTACATTGTATCTACAATTGTCACCATTCTATTTTATATTTTGAAGTTAAGGCTCCAAAGACCATGTGATACACATATTCCAATTCCATGTACAAGCATTCTATACCAATAATCACAGGCATCTTTAAGCACAGTAGGGTTGCCATGCTCAAACTTACAAGAAAATAGGAATTATTGTTATGCCAATGAAGGCTATAGTTCCAAAATGTACTTAAATAAATTAATTAATTAATTACTTGGTACTGTAAAATCTGTATTAAAAGCCGCGGCTTCTAATAAAATGGTACAATGCAACAGAGGGGATGCGGCTTCTATTAGAGCATCTACACATATGAGAAACGGTGAATTTTTAGGTCTCAGTTGTTCAAAAAGAATGGGTGCGGCTTCTATTAGGGATGCGGCTTCTAATACAGATTTTACGGTAATTATAAAGTCTTGCAAATGAGCCACCATGCTATCAAAAATTCCTGGAGAAAACACTGTACATATCTAGGGGTAAATCCTCAACTGGTACCATTGTTGGAATATTAAATTTCAGAACATCATAAAAAAGAATCATGTATCTTTAAAGTATTACAATTTCTTAGTATTGCAAGGTAAGATTGCTTTACAGATTTATGGTTTGCAGGCACTGTGCTTCAGATCTATCCTAAAAACTACACTCGTAATGCGTTTTATTGCAATTTATCAAGAAAAACCATTGTATACAAACAAATGTTTGTAACACCCTGTACAGCTAGATTCAACCATTAGTTTTGCCTTGACATCACAAAAAATGGTGATGCATGTGTATTTTTTTCCCAGAGTGCAGTGATAAATAAAACTTACACAGCTGAGTGAGAAATATATTTAATATTTTTATACTAATAATTACACATCATAGAAATTTCATTTTTATTATAAAAAAGTAAAAGACCATTCAGTATTTTTAACAAAAGAGGACAATTAAGAATTATATACTGCATATATCATAGCCATAATATACAATAATGTAATACTGTGAAATGACTAATTTTCACTTGGTCTAAATTTCGCTGATTTACCATTTCAGGCATATTCAGTGGGTTTTAAAATTCACGGTCATTTAGATAATGTGTTCTATGCTAAATTTTACATATTCACTGGGTTTTAATTTAGCGCATTTTTCCAGTGAGCGAAATAAGCAAAATTAAAACCCAGTGAATAATTAACCCCTTTACTGTATACAAAGAACTGGTAAATCCTTTTGAGGATGATCAATGTGGTTTTTCACCTTACAAATAGGAAGGGGTGTTGTAGGTGAAGTATACTGAAACTATGGCAGCACATTTTTGCAACTATTGCATTGGGGAAAAGTTTTTTGTTCAATATCGCACATTTATACCATGGATTACTATATTTTGTGAAATAAAAACATTATTTTTGTTGCTAACAAACAACGTTATTTTGATGAAGTATATACATTTTGAATTCATAGTACATACCAGTAATAGGTGATTTTCTGTTTACTAGTGGTGCAAGATGTTGCGTATAGTATTATGAAATGTGCAAACCGAACACGCGTCTGCCTTAATAAAACGAACGATTTGATTTTGAATATTTTGTTAATATTCAATGTCAAATGCAGATCTTTGAGAGGGGAATATTGCTTCGAGATACTCTTACTTCATCAAAAATTGACCAACATCAAATGTGTATAGCACATTATAAAATATCCCAAAAATACCTTCGCATGTGTCGAATCTCAGGCAGTCTTTTGACGTGACTATGACGCTATAATCTTCATTTGTTCTGTTTTTACACTCTTGCATAATGTGGGGTCTCGCAGGGAACAGGAAATACAATGTAGTCTACTCACATATTACATCATTTAGAGTCCTTGAATGTCTGTGCAAATTTCTCATGTGTAAACATTTTCTATTTATTTATTTTCTCATGTCCACTGCTATGGTAAGAACATGAAATTTCAAATTTTATCGGTAAAAACTCAATAAATATTCACTGTATTGCACTAATAACTTTAAATAGCTCTGAACTTATTTAATATCCAGCCCCTCCCACAAAATAGAAAACAAAAGTATCCTAAAAATTATTGCATGAGGGCGCCACAACTAAATATTGTGCATTACCTTATTTTAACTAAATATTGTCAATTGTCAACAATTCTTTTATTTTTCGGTGTTGCACACAAAGACAGATTATTATATTTGTTGGTACTATTTGCTGCTTTGATGCGCGAACTGCGTCTTCGAGGTGGCATATCTCTGCGTTTTGGTTCCAGAGACATGAATAGTGGGATAGAGAATCTGTAGTTGCAGATCATGATGAGAAACAAAACTGTAATCAGAAGTACAGAAATCAGAATCACTGGTTGCCATGGAGATGGTATTTCGGTGAACAGCCTCTGCAGACTCTGTCCTACCCCAGTAGCTATAATTTCTAAGGGTTTAGTTAAGCATCTCGTAACTGCAGCACAAACAGCCTGAAATATACATACATACCACGCAATGACATTAAATAAATAAGTATTGATATTGTTATGTTTATGTTATTGATTCAATGATGTTTTAAAAACAGAGGTTTATCAATGATTTAAAGATTCAAAGTGCAGCATGTTGTGTTGTTCAATATGTCCCAGGGATTTTTTTAAACAAGAGAACAGGGGCACAGTGCCCTTATGCTATGGCCACGCGCCCCCTTACCCTGGTGAGCAGATCCTCTGGCAACCATAAAATTCTGATTGACCAGAAATCACGTGTGGCCACAGTATCCAACTGTGACCTGTCTGATAGTAATTTTGGCCACAAGGAAGCCATATAATGCTCTATTTTAACTTAGAATTATCAAAAACTCCACACCCTGGTAGGGAGGACCCCCCCACACACACTTGGTGGCACCCATGGATTGCAGTGCTCCCTCTAGCAGTTTTTTTCTAGAAAAAACCCTGTGTCCCCTGCAACATATACAACATGTTTAAAAACAATATATTGTTTGGGTTCCCCTGAAATACACATTGTGCATATCTTTTTAAGGTAGAATTCTTGATTTTGCGGGTTCATAATTCATTACCATTTGTACCATTAATTAACAAATGCAGATAAGACTGAAACATAATTACTTTCATGGGTTCGAGTTTGGTGACCCATTTTGTTTTTTGTTTCCATAATTAAGAGATTTCAAATTACCATAACTGGTGTGACCTCCCATACAGGATCTACTATCAGAGCATGGTGATATTTATAACAAGGGTCATGTCCCCAGGTGAACTGCCATGACAACCATGACTTGATTGACAGCCATACACCAATGTCTTGCGGCAAACATTCAGCAGGAACTCCCTGCAATGTGAAGATGCGTTTTATAAATGTCAGGTGACTGAATGTGAAGATATGTTTTATAAATGTCTGATAACTGAATGTGAAGATGTGTTTTATAAATGTCTGATGACTGAATGTGAAGATATGTTTTATAAATGTCAGGTGACTGAATGTGAAGATGTGTTTTATAAATGTCAGGTGACTGAATGTGAAGATATGTTTTATAAATGTCTGATGACTGAATGTGAAGATGTGTTTTATAAATGTCAGGTGACTGAATGTGAAGATATGTTTTATAAATGTCTGAATGTGAAGATGTGTTTTATAAATGTCTGAATGTGAAGATGTGTTTTATAAATGTCTGGTGACTGAATGTGAAGATATGTTTTATAAATGTCAGGTGACTGAATGTGAAGATATGTTTTATAAATGTCTGAATGTGAAGATGTGTTTTATAAATGTCTGAATGTGAAGATGTGTTTTATAAATGTCTGAATGTGAAGATGTGTTTTATAAATGTCTGAATGTGAAGATGTGTTTTATAAATGTCTGGTGACTGATGATGAA